CTACATGACGAACGCAGAATCAACAGACTTTTGACTTCATAATATTTGAAACACAAGACAACAAAACAAGTACTGGATCATCGTCTGTACTGTTGATACATCTGTAAAAACACAGACAAGTATCTTAGTGGTATACTGTGTTTTTTACAGGTTTGCGAATGATAATACACCTACCATTTAAGAAGAATAATAAAGTCTACAAATTCAATGTTTGGTACAATTTCAGATTTTTTTAGATTTTGATAAGCATCTCCTTCAGGGTCAACGGTTACAGCAAAATCTAAAAATATTGTTCTTACATCATTATCATAAATTAGCACAATTGTTTCATGAGTCACACTATCTTGACACCAACTCCAAATTCATTGTGTCTGTCTTTTGGAATCGTTATTCTCGCCGTCCACCAGACTGAACGTCAAAAGCATACTGGAGATTTTACCAACGTCATTCCAATACAAGAACAATTTTATACAATATAAGGGTACAATAAGAGAGAAATGTGGATTATTTGCTAAAACAAGAAAAAAACTAACCCTGTACACCCCATTTCAAAACAATGCCAGACGAAGGTCACAGAAGGTGCCCTCTGTACTTTTGCCTCTTCTGACCCCAAACTTTGTCTGCGCTCATTTGTCCCATTGATATTCCCTTCATTAAAGCCCATTAATTGTCTTTGTGAATGTGAATTATCAGCAGCTGCTCATTGTGTTTGGAGCATTTGAGCATGTGGCGAGTTATAATATGGCTCATTTTGTGCAGCTCAGATTTCAGAGAGAGAGCGGCTGAAAGGAAAGCCCCACTGTCCTTGAAACAGACCCTTTGGAAACACTGGAACAAAGGTGGAGCCGCCGCAGAGGAGACGCGCTTTAGCTCTGACAAAGAATTATTAAAACCGTTTGATAATTTGAGGTTTTTTTCCCGCCAAATTGTTCAGAGTCTAATAGACTAGAAGTGAGCAGTGAAGATGATTTTTCAATATTTATACAAGGGATCATGCATTCAGTGACATCAGGATATAAAACAAAGAAAAATATGGTGTGATATAAGGCATATTATGGTGTGACCTATGAGTGTATTGACCAATCAAATGGGAGCTTGATTTGTGTAATGTTGTCCACAATGATAGATGAGAATAGAAAATGGAACCTTTTTGTGATATGATATTGTGCAATGTTAATGCTTTGCTTCAATTGAACAAAGTACTTAAAAGTCCAGGATCAATGGTCAAGATCCTGGACTCTTTTACCTAACCTTACTCTATTTTTAATCCTAAACCTAACCCTATCTCCCTAGTTGTCTCAATATTTTTGAGTTTCACCTTTCTGTATCTATGGTGTTTAGAAAAGATGGGTATGGTGCCAAAAGACACACAAGCAACATGTATTATATGCCTGCAGTTCAATTTGGCTGTGTTAAGGACAGACTAAGTGCATTGGCCAACATATTCTACACTGAAACTTAAACAGACTAGATTTGTTTAATTAGCTAATTTAATCCATATTTTTTCATAATTACATTACACTGCCATCATTAAGCACAAGCTGCTGAACCCGACAGGCGCCATGTTGTTTCAGCTGTACATGTCACTCACTCAACACAATGCTAATTACAGATTTAATTAGCCCGTGCACAACTTGTTCAAAGTAAAATAATGTGCAGTAATCAAAGCCTGGCAGCCCCGTCCTGCTAATTGGAGGACATTAACCTTATAATCTGTGGAGCCATTTTGCTTTGTAACATCCCTAAACAATAAACGGACTCCTGTTAGCAGCAGAGAAGACAAGCGAGTATTAGTGCGCATTAATTTGTGCTAAAGAAGTTGTAATTTGTGGCATAATCTTAATTCCTTTGCTAAAAAAAACACACAACTTTTATCTCTGCAAAGCTTTCAGAAACTCTTCACACACAAAAAACACACACACACTAAGAGAACTCAACCTGCCGTATCAGTACAGTCTCCGGAATGAGTTGGATGAAAGCGCTTTTATCAGGGAATTTTCAAAAGGAGGCTTCAAAAACAGCTTTTTTTTGGGCGGAATTGTTTTTGCGTTTGTAGATTCAGAGGAGGAAAGTAGAGCGGAGGAAATCATTAACTGATGTGTGGAACGTCGTGACAAACATTTAGGTCTTGAAATAAACGCGTTTTTTAAACAAATTTTGCCTTGATGTGATAACTGTGATTGGCTTATGGACGCACGCTTTAACATTGTCGTCCAACATTTAGTAAAGATTTCTCTACAAAACAATGCCTGGAGCAACATGCAGGCCTCTTTAGTTATTCACAGCTGTCGGAATGCTTTTGCATTTTCACGTCGAAAAAAACCCCAAACTGGTCCTGTTCTCTTTCTTTCAATGGGAAAAGAGCTGCTGGAGTCGAGTGTTGGTGTTATGACCGTAAACACATTAAAACATCTAAGCTCCACTCCGCTCCACAAATGAGGCACTCAATTATAAGCTTGAAATTGATTTTGGCCACAACGGGGATTATCGATCCTCTAAATGTTTGCCGCGCGGCTCCTTGTCAAAAAGTGTGCGCAGGGGCAGTAAATAAACAGCTTTTCACCGGTCTTATATAATCCCTTACAACTGATGCACGCGATTTCAAAGTGTGTTAATATCGACGTGTTCCAAAGCTGATGTGACTGTTAGGAGGAAGTCGCACCATAATTACATAATCACCATATTTACATATAACCATGCAAATAACAACACAATTGATGGAGCAGGCATTGCCACGTTGCTTGTCAAAGTAATTTGCAAATCAAGAATCCTAAAGCAGTGCGCCTCCGAGCAAAAGTACCCTTTGTGTCAGCTAGATTGTTTATTTGTTTATTTGAGCAGACAAGTACTGGGCGAGATAGAAGAAATTTATGTAAATGTGTTTTTCTCCCACCCATAATGATATTCTGTTCCATCTTTCAACATCTATGTCTGTTCCAGAATACCTGCTTTTACTGACAGAACTCCCAGTTATTGTTTTGAATTGGATTATAGAGTATGTGCTTATGACTGAAGTTGAAAAAAAGTTGATTAATAACAAGATATTGAAGCTAATGCAAAGGTTCTGACGAAGACTGTAAAATCTCAGAGTTCATTATCTCATTTCACATGTTTCACTTGAATCCTCCCATGTCTGTGCTGGCCGTCACTCGCTGCATTTAAACAACGCAGTGGGTTGCTGCAAGATGTCAGCTTGTGCAGCAACCCACCTCCTCCCCATGAAGTTGAAGTTGCAGATATCAAATTTTTCACAACTCAATAAACAACATTCTAATGCATTCTATTGCCAGAGCCTTTCCAGATTGACCTGCCATTCAGATGTCCAGAATATAAATGTGGCTTTTGCATGTTCTCCCTGTGTCTGTGCATTCCTCTACATACAGTGCCTAAAGCTGATCATCTACAACTCTTGCTGAACGATTTGTAAGTGAATAGACGTTCCCCAATTGTAACAAAAATCACTTTTCATTCAAGTTTCTGTGTTTTAATTCCCTTCCCCTCACAACTTTCTAAAATGGCTGACTTGCTACTTCTGGTACGAATGAAGTTATCAGTGCTAAACAAGGCTCGGAGGCTGCCAGAGCGCTGTCACATCTCATCACAGTTTTGGCACGGAACGCAGCAGGTGCCAGGAGCCGGGAACCGAGAACTATACGGACTGGGGCAACAAACCAATCCAGCGCACTGTAAGAGGCTTTCTGAGGCATAGCGCAGGTGCCACTCACAAGAGCTCCTGTTTAAGTCCCTTTATTTGACCAGTCGCCCGTGGCTAAGATGAGAAATGGGCCTGATGCTGGCGGCTGATGTCTATTAAACAGAGGAGATGACAGAGCCTGAGCCTGCAACTAATAGAACATGGGATTTCTCCTATTCTAAATACGGAAAGATGTTGTAGGAGTTCAGCACAAAACGATAATGCTTTGGACGTATATACATCCAAATCAGGGCCTATGGAAGATGGAGACCTTTGACCAAGTCAAACAGAATGCACAAGAGCAAGAGTAAAATATTATCGTTTTTTCTACAGGCATGAAGTAAAAAAAACCCCAAATGTATTTTTGAATATAATGTACTCTATCTATCTATCTATATATATATTTATATATATTCAAAGCTACTTTTATTACATTTTAACTTGATTTTTAAATGTTTTTTGACAGACATGTGAGTAAATATATTGTTATGCCTCTATGGGCAGCACTCAGGAACCTGTTTATAAACGGGCAATATAAACAAAGCTGATTAGATTCATTATGTGGTAATGATATTAAGAAGTTTTGGTCAAATCTACACAAAAACTCACTGGGATCCAAAAAAATAATCACTTATCAAAAAATAGTGAGTTAGAGCTACTTTCATCTAAATCTAATTAATTTCATTCCATTTCAAAGACAACCTCATTTTCACTTATACATACTTTTTTAAAACAGGACACTATATTTTGAGTGATACCGAGAACTGGAAGGTGGCATAAAACTACCTACATGTTTGTCATTATAAAAGAAGCTTATGTTGCCTCAAAGCAGCATCCATCATGAAACAAAGAATTTCAACTTTGATGGTTGAACAAGTAACGCCGCAGCCATGAGTCCTTTATACCGCAATTATATGTGTGTGTGTGCTACATTTTATGCTAAATTAGTTTGGAACCACTTGATCCTTGATGCCTGCCAAGTCGGTTCGTTACAAAACTTCAGGCACTGCATTTAGGGACATGTAGACTTCAAAGGTACGAAACTCTTACCTGGAGAGTGATTTAACAGTTGGCTTGAAAGCAATGTACCCTTCATTAAAAAGCAGAGCCAAAAGTCCTTTAGACAGAGCTGCACTTCAAAACTAAGGGGAGGGCTTTCCATTAACTCAATGGAAAAAGGCTGCAGGATGGAATGGCGGGACTGCGTGTGTTTTTGTTCCTCTATGTCTTTGCGGCAGAAATGGCCACGGATCCATTAGCCCGATTTGTCACGGCGAGAGCACCCCAAAGATCTGTTATCACGTACCTCTCGAGTGGCAAGGCTGTCGCTCATCTCCTCCGCCTTTGCTACGTCCCCTTCAGCGATGGCCGTCTCTATGCTCTTTTCTAGGCCGGACTGCGGAAGAGAAATTTAGATTTTTTTTCTTAAATAGGGAGTGAGAGAAAATCAAAGTAACTTCACAAGTCCCCAGGGTCTTATTTTTAATATGATTCCCATTACCACAAATATGTAGATTTCGCCTCACAAATGAAAACCTTTTTGATTGGATATTAGTGGGAAAATCTTAGAAATGCTACAGGAGATTACCAAACATAAATGTGCTTCTTTAATTATGCACTTCCATTACAGAGGGGGTTCGGAGCGGCCCCCGGATACTGATGTCTGTGCAGTTTTGAGTGATGCTCCGATCTGAGGAACCAGGACATCTCATCACTAAACAGATGCGCTCCAAAGTCTGATTATGAGCGCTCTGACGCAGTTTAAATAAATCTACGGCACTGCAGAAATACAGCATTATTACTATTACGCCTAAAAATGTGCCAAATATGCAACAATATAGCAGCCTGGGTTTGATTTCACTTCATTATTTCTTGTGTATACTGAGGCTGACACTGATACAGTTGAGTTTGAAGTCTCAATTATCACACGGACAGATGATCACGCTTTGTGCCAAGAAACACATTTAAGGTCAGAGAAAACACGCTGTCAGCTGATAAAATAATAACATTACAGCGCTTTGACAGCTTTTTACTTTGCTGCTTATGAGCGAGTCTCTCCAAGAATGAAATGAAATCATATATTAATTACAAGAAAAGTGCATTTGAGGAACAGAGGCAGTTCTCATTATGTCGACGTGACAAGTTCTTTCTCTTTCAGCTTGTTAATCATTTCTTTATCCTCTCACAGTTGGCCTTTTCAATACGGGGCTACAATCAGCAAAAACTCAATTTAATGGTTTTCCAAGATAAATTAAGTATAAAATGCTCCCAAATAATCATTAAAGGGATTTCAAATTGAAATGAAAAGACTTTCTATTCAGTGGCTCAACTAAATGTTCATCAGGCATTTTGCCTCACTGGCAATTTACATGCCTTTACATTAGCAGTCCAATTATCCTTAAGAGAAGACAACGCTTGAATTAGTCATCTATGGACACAAATCACTATCCCACTTTCTTTCCTACAGTTTCAATTTTAATATTCCCCTTCTCAGATAATGAGGACCAAACACACATCATCGACACCAGTATAGTTTATTTTTATCCACGTTTATTGGATACAGCTTGATAAAAGTAGAGGATGTTCCTGTGTGTTTGTCCTTTTTATGTGCAGTAGGGCTGAAACAACTAATCGATTAAATCGACGACTAATCGATTATTGAAATAGTCGACAACTATTTTAGTAATCGATTAATCGTTTTCTGGTTCACACGGACTCAAATAGAGCAAAAATGACATGAAAATGTAGTATTTTTGATTAAAACCGACTTTGTTTTTATAATTTCATGAATATCTGTCTGTCTCATCCAATCAGAGCAGAATTAGCACAAAGAGCCTGTTACAAACATTTACTTTAAGTTTACGCCATCAATACGTCCTCGAGTGTTGCCACTTTAGCTTTTTGTGATGAAAAAATTATTTTTTTCTACACAATTCACAGCCAAGCGATTACTCGATTAATCGTAAAAATAATCGATAGATTAATTGATTACAAAATAATCGTTAGTTGCAGCTCTAATGTGCAGTATTGATATCTAGTCAATCAAAAATATGTTTGTTGTATGTAGGATAGAGACATGCAGCCATCAGCTAAAGCTAGAAAGGGAATAAACAAAGCAGATGTTGTGAGTTGTTAGTTTTATTCAAATAATTGGTTGGATTGACTTTTAACAGAGTGACTTTATAACATTTATTAATTAAATTATATCTAATAAAAAGGTTGACAAGAAGACATGGAGTATGAAATGTGTTGGTAATTGTCAATCAATATTTATTCATATGTACCTTCTCCATGATACAAATGCTGTCTGTACTGCTTAAATTTGAACTCCTGTTTCATGTATTAATTTATTTGGTATGAACACAACAGTGACATTGGACAGACCAGATGCACTGCCTTTAGAGTTATAGCAGGACCAAGCTAATTTTCAACATTTGTCCATACAATGCTTTCAGGACACCATGTGATATTGTGGTGAGTCAGTATACTATGGGTCAGATAAAAAGTTGTATCCTAGCTGATGGAGATACTTAATACCCTTGAGAATAGCACAAAGCGTTCACTTTTAGTTGGCTACTCAATGCAGTGGGCATGCTTTTAGTAGACCAAGAATTTCTGTAATTGGCTTCAGTCCAAACCAGTGACCACCACTGACGAACACACCTCAAACAGGTTTCTTCCCTCTACAAAGTTAATTTAAAGCCTATCTCAGAATATGAAAATTCAGGGGTTGGATATCAAACAATTTTCTAATCTTGCGGCTCTAAAGCAGACACATGGTATCCTAACCCGCTCTTATTCTGTCAGGCAACATTTAGGTTTTCTGTGGGATCCTTACAGAGAAAACCTACATCTCATTTTAATCTCAGCCATGAAAGAATCCTGTGTAATCTTATCACTAAATGAAAGCTGAACGTAATCCTTAATATTCTTCTCAATGTCAGGTCGAGTTGCCATAGTGATTCTTCTAATCCGAGCACCATATCACGTGAGACAATGGGCGGGAACACAAAGGATGTGAAGGTGTACTAACAGCTCCGACACACAGATTTAAAGCAGAGCAGATAAGTTGGGAGACAGCAGCCATTGTTACCTTGGGAGGGGGTTTGAAGCAGGAGGGGGGTTGGAACCGATCATTTGAGCCGAAATACTGCTTAAGCTCATCCCAGTGCTGCTCCTGCTTCGTCTCCTGCTCTCTGCAAAAAGAGAAAAGTGTGTGCTAATGTTCTCAGCATGTACAAGGCGTTTAGTGCAATCTTGGCACTTGGAGATACTTTCAGCTGGCAGCACACTGACATTAGTGCCAGTCTGATTTAGGCTTTCATCTTCATTCGTCTACATTTGAAATAAATATTGAATGTAACAGAGACATATAGATCACATTTAGTGCTCTTATTTGTTTTCTCTTCAGCTTCTAATCACACATATCTTTTCCACAATTCAACCAGGGTTCATTGAAAATCCTTTGTATGTATAATTTTGCAGCTCACAATGGAGGAATGTGGTAATTTTGCTTTTGTCATTTTAGCTTTATTGTAACTAGTATCCATCTGATTCTCAAACCAGCTCGCTTCTATCACTTGTTTTCACATGCAATGATTTTTACAGTCACATTTTTAGACAGAAAGTGAAACAAAAAGTACCATGCACACTCAGCTATCAGCCCAAAGTCTCAAATAGTAACTCACGAGGTCCTTTCTTAAAAGTATGCATAAGACGGCCTGTTTTGTGATAAGATTAAGACTACACTGTGGTGCAGAGCGTGCTTTTAAAACTTAAGTCTTTCTGTTGAAACATGTTTTTATTATTATTCATGAAAAAGGAGGATATAAAAAGAACATAACAGAATAGATGTTGATCGTATTGTATGGATCCATGTTACTTTGGTTCATAATAGATTACATATTTGAAATTAGCCGAGTTAATAATGCCATAGACTGACCTGTTGGCCTCAGGCTGGTTACTGCTGCTCACTGTTCCTGTTCAACAAAAGGTAAATGCAAGTGTTTGTGTTTGTATTTGTGTGAAGTGTATTGGCCAAGTCAATACACTTCACACAAACACACAGAATGACACAATCTTGATACAATGAAGAAACACCACAAAAGTGAAATTTCGAAGTTAAGTTTAGATAGAATATAGATGCTGTTTTCACCTTTCTTTTTCCGTCTTCTTTTTCTTCTTTTGTGGACTCCAATTGTTTTAGATTCTTCACTTTTCTTTTGTAGATCCTTGAATTTCTTTAAGCAAAACACATGGGAGGAATGAAACACTTTCTAACAACATGATTGTGGAGTTAAATTGTGTATAATACAAGCTGTGATCACAAACAGTGCATTCATCATTGCATTATAGAAAGAATCTGAATAATATAATAACAACCAGAAACCTTTTATTGCTTGAATTGTCATTGTTGCTATTTGCTTTAGGGAGAAATACCATTATAAAAAACCAACATATTTTATGAATACTATTTGTATCTTTACAGCATAATAAGTTTTAGGCAGTTTGGGAGTCTGGAGACATGAAAATATTGTACTGACTTCATTAGAGTGATGACCAGAGATAAAGTTCATAGCACAGGCAGTAGGGAGTACAACCACATTTAATGCCACAATCTCTAATATGTAATGCCCTTGGTGTAAATTTGGTTATATCAAATTGAATATCATTTTAATAATTAAAACTAAACATCCTGGGGCAACACTGCAGTTAGTTAAGGATCAATGAATGTTGATCAAGAGACTGTTCTAATCTACATTGGCTTTTTACAGAGAAGTGCCACACGTTGCTATCAGGTCTATACTGTCTCTACAGGTTAATTTTGACAGAAAATAAGCAATCATTAGAATACACACATGGTATGAATTGGAAAGCAACCTGCTGTTCCTAATCATTTAACTTGCTTCTAATAACAACTTCTACCACTGACACTACCTACTTGCCACATTTCCTGAGAGATACCAGGTAGACAGCTCTGTGCCTCACTGCCAACATCAGACGCGCTGACACCTGGCATCACTTCCACTGAGGATGCTGCGTTTTGCTGTTGGGAACTCAAATCTTCCTCTTTCGCCACATCCTCCTCTTCATCATCCGAACTAAGGTCCTCCTCTGTGCAACCTTTCGGCAAGAGCCCACTGTACATAGCGACAAAACTGTCAACAACTATCACAGTATGAATCTATAATGATAGCAGGCGCATTCGGTGATAAAATTGCAGGCTTTAGCATTAGCATTAGCGTTGACGGCAGTGCATGCTTCCGGGTAAACAAGGTGACGTAATGAATAACGCCGCTGCTGATTGGCTGTGAGAGTTTCTAGTGCACCCGTGTAAACCAATTGAATCATCGTACACAGAAGCGCGTGCTACAGTCTGTGGTGCTGACAGACAGTAAATAACGTCAACTCATTTTAATAGTAAGTTATTTTTTTAATGGATTCGATGAGCCAGCTAGTTGGGATGCTTTAATCCCTGGACCATTTTTATATTTTAATGACAGGCAGGTTGATACAAAGATAACTATATAAATCAATCTTTTGTTGAAAATACGTGATACGATAAAATAAATGTTTTTGTGTATTTGTTCTGACGACTGAAAAATATGCAATAAGTTACATGGATGAACGGCTGTATTGTTACAGTAAGAAATCGAATAGGTGTGCATACAAATCCTAGCTGAATAACTGAATAGCTTGTGTATATTTCAGCTACAGTACATTTCAGTAGCTAGTGGGGATCAAAATAAAAACGAATCAAACTGCACAGAATATAAATGTATAAGTTAAGGTAGGGTTAAGGTGTTTCCAGGCTAGTATGATAAATAGTCGTGTATTTGTTTTTATTTATTTTTTAATTACAACTTTGTGCTCAAAACGTCGTGCCCGAAGGCTTTTACGGCTGGGTAATTAAAACATTATATCAAAGATCTGCCTTAATTAGATATTTAAATGACCTTGACATTCGTGGGAAAGTGATTTTTTTTTTTTAACAGAATTTATACATTTTGAAAGGAAGGTCCTCAAAATGTTGCATGAAACAGAAAGTTGAAATAGTGTTTTCAGTTCATATAAACCATGTAATGCTCCAGGAGGAGTTTTTTACAATGTGCGATCTGATCACAACAGTGCCCCGTCAGATGATATATACTGTATTTCAAATGAGGTAAGGCAAGGCAAGGCAAGTTTATTTGTATAGCACAATTCATACACAAGGCAATAAATGGCATAAATAATCACAGTACATAAAAAAAAAAAGATAAAAATATAAAATCCCTCAGTTGTATGCACAGCTAAACAGAACCGTCTTTAACCTGGTTTTAAACATTGTCAGAGAGGAGGCCTGTCTCACCTCTTCAGGAAGACTGTTCCAGATTTTAGCAGCATTAATCTGAAAAGCAGCCTCCCCATGTTTAGTTCTGACTCTGGGCACTAACAGGAGTCCAGTCCCTGTGCTCCTCAGAGTCCGGGCTGGTTCATATGGGACTAACATGTCACTAATATATTTTGGTGCGAGGCCATGGAGAGACTTGTAACAAGCAGAGCTGTTTTAAAGTCTATTCTCTGAGCCACAGGAAGCCAGTGCAGAGACCTGAGAACTGGACTAATGTGGTCTTACTTCCTGGTTCTAGTCAGGACTCGAGCTGCTGCATTTTGAATGTACTGCAGCTGTTTTACAGCCTGTTTGGACAGACCTGTGAGCAGGCCATTGCAGTAGTCTAACCTACTGGAGACAAATGCATAAGAATCTCCAAGTCTGCTTTAGACACTATGTTTTTGATCCTGGCAATGTTTTTTAGATGGTAAAAAGCTGCTGATGTTACTGATTTGATGTGGCTATTAAAATTTAAGTCTGAGTCCAGTATTACCCCTAGATTTCTGACCTTGTTTGAAGGTTTTAGGGAGAGAGACTGGAGGTGACAGATGACGCTCTCTCTTTGTTTCTGGGGACCAAAGACAATCATTTCAGTTTTGTCTGCGTTTAGCTGAAGGAAGTTGTTTTGCATCCACTCACTGATCTGTTGGATACAGTGAAGGAGTGAGTCCACTGGTCCATGTTCTCCTGCAGTCAGTGAGACATAGATCTGAGTGTCGTCTGCATAGTTATGATAGGACACTTCGTTTCTGCGTATTAACTGACCTAACGGCAGCCCTATGTGAAAGGTCTTTTTTGTGGAGAAGCTGTCCACGACATTGATACTGAAATAATCGTATCTTATCTTACCTCGGATGTATCATGACATGGGGGACAAACAAGAATTTCTGGAGTTCACTTTCTTTGTTTTACTTTTGCAGGCTGAACCAGTTTGGCTGCAGGTGGCATTTTTGTCATGTGTCTGGAGCTCAAATTCTGACAGGTCTGTGAATTACCAGGAATCATTCAAATGTTAACCTATATTTGTGTCATGCTTGCAGTGAGATAAGCTTCCCTCTATGACCAATGGTTTGCAATTTGCTCAAAGTGCTATGGGCATTACATTATTATTAGAATGATTAGCATGCAAATCTTGTATAGCCCCTGGCACTGGCACAGGCAAATCTACCCTTAAATTGCTCTTTCACACTCATTCACATTATATAGGCTTTCTTTGGGTTGCATCTTATTGCAAAGCCAATAGTCTGCATAAATTACGGCCCATATTTAATGTTCCATATGAATCCAAGATAAAGGCACTCAGAGACCGGTGTGAGTATTGGACACAGACAAGTTCATAATGTTAGACCTAATACACCTCCACACTTTTATGGGAATGCCTAAGCCACTTGTGTGTTTGTATAACGTGTCTATAAAAGGGTAAAAAGTACTCTTCTTTTGAATATGAATTATTTTCTTAAATATAAAATAGACCTGACTCAATCAGCAACATCTGTCTGTTTAAAGGCTTGCAATCCTAGGCAGTTTTAAGGTTGCCAAATTAATACTTACAATGCCATTATGTGGTTTTCTACATTTTTAGTAGGACAGCAATAAACAGGGCTATGCTGGTCTATTGAAAGTTGTTTGCATATGAAACAAAAAGCTCTGAAAATATCCACTTGCTTGAGAAAATCACAATTATATCATATGAAATTAATATTACAGATATGGAGATATTGGAGCTATTATTAAATATAATAAACACAAAAGCTTTCTAAGATTTATATGGATCAATGAATGCCAGCGACTTTTACAAATGAGTTCTGAACTCACCCAGGTTCTTTTGTAGGATTCACATTGTGACTACTGAAAGTATGAATATATGAGATGATAAAACCTTTTTTCATACCACAGTGAGGAAGTGTCAGTTTTTCAGCGCACGCTACAGACAGTTAGAATAAAAGGAGCACACGATAAATAAGATAAACATAATGATTAGATGGGAATATTAGATTAAAAGTCTTGGCTGAAGTACAAACTATACAACTACAATAGAACTAAAATCTCTGTGACGTTCAAATGTTTTCCTGAGCCAAAAATACTCCACGGTTCCTTGCTTTTGTATCGCAGGCAGCTGTCTGAAACGGACCCGATCTGAAGACCTTCCCTTCTCCTTGACCCTCCTGTGTAACTTTAGAAGCACTCAGTGGAGCTTTGCAAAAATGCGGTGAGTATTAAACTGGCCTGATGAGGCTTATGCTGTATTGAATGTCATCTCCAACATGTAAAATCTCCATCTCATCCCCTGAAATATGCCACCATTAACCGCTATCACTCATTTGGCATTAACCAGGCATTTAATTACGTGTGTGACAAGTTCATGATCCATCTTTTGAAGGTGAACCCCTATGCCACAGAGTTTGAAGAAATGTGGCTGTGTACAAGCCTTTTACCATTGATTGCAAGACTTTTTATGTTATTTCACACTTGAATTATTGTCTTAGCTTCTTTTCAACCATCTCTCCCCCGTCTTGGCATGTCTCACAGTTCATTATTTCCGTCATTTCTTGGTAATTTGGAGTTTGGCTGTGTAAAACTTAGAGCCTCTTATTAAGTTTTGGCCATGGCGGATAAGAGCCAGGCCTGTAAGAGCACAGAGATAAACTAATCATCTTAAAACCCTAATTATTAGTATCTTACTGTGACAGGCTGTTTCTTCCTTTTTGCCAGCCCGCCAAATTGAGCTTCAAATGGGGGGAAGCCGTATCTTCTGCGCGCATTGGTAATAATTTTAAGTCATTGCCGTGGTTCTCGGTGTGGCAGAATTCATTAGCGGAGATTAGCGCTGTGTGTACAAAGTAAATGAGATATCTAATGGCAAACGCGGAGGTCCGGGGCTTGTAATTTCCATCCGAATGTGAAGTGGGCGAAGTTAAGAGGTCATTAAAGCATATGTTTGCGTAGCTCGGTGCCATGCAGATGTGTAGTCGTGGGCTAAATAGTAAATAGTTGACCTGTGATTGAACATATACTCTTGAGTTTAGCTGTGATAAAATTAAACTCAAAATGAATCAAGATTGAACCGGTGCTACGCAGAGCCGAGCAGATTTCTCCTGCGAGGATACAAGGTTAGTTAATTATGTGCGTAAGGAGAAGGTTGGGGAAAATAATAAGATTACAACGAATAATTTGCTGATATAATTACAGCAAAATTGGGTACACACAATCGTAAAATACATGTATTGCTTGACCCGGGTTAGCCAGTGAAATAAATCCTCCTTCTATAGCCTTTGTTAATTTGTTTTTATCATCTCCAAGTGGTGTTTGTGCAGGCAGTCCAATTTGCATGTGTAATTCCACTGTGCAAATTGACAACAAGGAGATAATTCGAGAAAATAGGCTGGTTGCAGGCCCCCGCTATCTTCCCGAGCCTATTCATTTTGAGGAAGCGCTGAGGCATGAAACTCATACATCAACTATTTCCTGACAACGCTTAGGCTTATTGTCCCCTAAAATGTCATTACAGCCATTATTTATGAAGCTAATTCATTTATTAAACCGTATTTACTCTGACTGAATTTGTCACATTCTATCCATGTCCCGAGTATTGCTTTTTGAACAATTGCGGGGATACCTCGCAAAGTTTTGTCGTTCATAATAGTTCGACTGTTGGGAGAAATTGTATTGACTTTATTCATGGGAACTTTTCGTACCGAATTGTACTTTGTGAATGCTGAGTAAATGGTGTTTTAATAAGAGCTCAATATTGATACATGTTGGTTACAGATGGG